GCAGTCAATGAAAGTGTATCAAACGTAATCATATAGTTTAGCACTGAAGGTTTTCATAAAATGCTTGCACATAAACCTTTACAATTAATCCAGAACGCGGCAGCATAATTCTTAATGAGCCGAAAAGAACGCACGTCACACCTCTGTTCATCAATTTGCACTGGCTACCAGTAGCTGCTCGCATAAAATTCAAGGCACTGATGTTTGCCTACAAAACCACCACTGGCTCTGCACCCATTTACCTAAATTCATTACTTCAGAGTTCTGTGCCCTCTAGAAGCTTGCGTTCTGCAAGTGAACGTCGCATTATTGTGCCATCTCAAAGAGGCACAAAATCACTTTCACAGACTTTTTCATTAACTGTTCCCTCCTGGTGGAATGACCTGCCCAACTCAATCCGAGCAGCTGAGTCCTTAGCCATCTTCAAGAATCGGCTAAAAACACATCTGTTCCACCTTTATTTGACCCTCTAACTCTAGCAGAGTTCGGCTGGTCTCTTAACTATGGTGCTATTGCCCTGATGTGGAGAGGAGGCTGCATTATTCGCAGGTAAGCAAGCTTTGCTCACAGTGATTTAAAAATATTGCATAAAACGATATGCTTTATTCAGATTGCTTATCAGTTAAAACCACTTAAGCTCGGGGCGTTTTTTGGTATTTTCGCCTAAATTTAACATACTCAAATTCAAATGTTTACCCTGCACACATACAATGGAGGAAATGAAAAAAAATGTTGGACCCGTATCCGGGTCCGCAGAGTTTAACTGGTTTTAAGGCTGTGTCTACTGAAATGCTCAAGAATTAAATCATATGAAACTTCATCTTTTCTCCACCCGGTGAATGTTGCAACTCTGTAAACACTAGGAAGTGGTGATAATGTTTCATGTAAAAATCCCACACGCACAGAAATGAGGAAGCTGATTTTACAATATCATAACTGTAGATTAGCTATGAATAAAGGTCATGAATCTTTCATTCGCAGTGTTTTCTTGGGAAAGATCAAGGAAGCGTTTGACCGGAACTCCGAGCTGCAGAGTTTGCTGCTGGATAACTTCTTCAGTAAAGCTGTACAGGATTGTCAGGTACAGGAAGTGAGCCAAGAATGACCACAAATTTTACAAGTTTCCTGTAATAGTGCCACTAAATATGAAGAGAAATCAGCGGCACTTATGGCAGACTGTTTATGTGCAATACATTACCTCTAAAAAGTAATGTGCAAAAACTATGTCCACTTAGTTCCTTCCAAATATATACACAGTGAACACAGTCCAAACTGATATGACACCTTCTACTCCACCTGATCTAGGATGAATTATTCCATTTATTTTACATGGTATAAGCATACAATATATTCATTTTGATACTGCATGCAATTACTACAGCAAAGTCATATACAATACAACCTATTTTACCAGGATTATGAAAAATTTGGAATTTCTACCATAGCAAATAGCATTTATGGATAAAATATAATTTAATCCGTGACAATTTCATTTTATTTCATAATATTTTATAATATGAATTTAAATTAAGATCTATGCAGTCAATGAAAGTGTATCAAACGTAATCATATAGTTTAGCACTGAAGGTTTTCATAAAATGCTTGCACATAAACCTTTACAATTAATCCAGAACGCGGCAGCATAATTCTTAATGAGCCGAAAAGAACGCACGTCACACCTCTGTTCATCAATTTGCACTGGCTACCAGTAGCTGCTCGCATAAAATTCAAGGCACTGATGTTTGCCTACAAAACCACCACTGGCTCTGCACCCATTTACCTAAATTCATTACTTCAGAGTCCTTTTAGACTTGCACTCTATTAATTTACTAACTGCTTGTTTTCTAAAAAAAAACAACTACACTAGCTTCTCTATTCTTTTTGTATTCTATCTATTTCTTTTCTTATTTATTATACAATTACCAAAAGCAAAAAAAGGCCTCGGTTTTCTTTTTATTTATTATATAATTACAAAAAAAAAACTTGCTACGTGTACTGCGTTAAGCTGAGACTTGTTATAGCACTTGCGTATCATTGCTCTTTTGTTGATTTTGATTGCTTCCATTGTCCTTATTTGTAAGTAAATGACAATGTTAATGTAATGTAAACGTAAATGCATTGGTGGTAATTGATTTGTATGAGCTACAGTGTTTAGCTACAATATTCCAGCAATTATTTGACAACATAATAGCATACATAGTCAGAAAGTAACATAAATGAACAGTTGGATTTTAAAGTCATTTATCAGATGTCAAATATGGTCTGAAAATCCAGTTTGGAAAAACATGTAATTTTGAAATGGAAATTATGTAGGAACAGTGGTTTACCTTAACGGATCTAAACGTCGGTAACACTTTAGAATAGGGACCAATTCACTCTATTAACTAGTTGCTTATTAGCATGCCTATTATTAACATATTGGCTGTTTATTAGTACTTATTAAGCACATAATCTGCATGACCATATTCTACATCCCTAATCCTATCTAAAACCTAAATTGAACAACTACCTTACTAACTATTAATAAGCAGCAAATTAGGAGTTTAATGTAGTAGTTAATAGTTTAATAATAACGAGAATTGGACCTTAAAATAAAGTGTGACCTAAAAGTTGATTGGTATTAATGCAGTATATGTAGAATATGTTTTCTTTAGCAGTAAGTGGGTTGTGTTTTGCAGGAATCATGGCGTAGGGTAGTAAGTACAGGTGTGCAGCAGGGGATCCCCATGCCGTGCTTCACCACTGCCCTGTCCTTCTATGACGGTTACAGGCATGAGATGCTCCCAGCAAACCTGCTGCAGGTAAACCTCTCTAGAACACACAAACCTTCTCTCTCTAACTAACCCTATGCTATATCACAGGGATTACATCTGGACATTTATGGTTATAGGCATTTGAAGACTTTAGTATGATTTTTGTTCATTTACTTTAATTAAATTAGAATAAATAATTACTTTTTGTCTTTTTGGTTTGAATAAGAATTAGTACTTTTGCTTCAGACACTTTATGAGTCCCTTCTTTTATTTTAATGCTCAAGCAGTTGTTCTCTCTTTGTATTTTTCATTGGCTGAGCTAATATTGTGACATTCTTCAGGCACAGAGGGACTACTTTGGTGCCCACACGTATGAGCTGCTATCAAACCCTGGAAAGTTCATTCACACTAACTGGACAGGCCATGGAGGAAAAGTGTCGTCATCATCCTACAATGCCTAAAATCAAGAGTGGTATCAGGTTAAACAGCAAAGAACATCTTCTCCTCTTGATGAAGGATCAGAGCAGCTCAGCACATTCCTCCTGAAGAATTGAACTTCAGCTCACAGTAGAGCTCTTACTGAAGAGTGTTCAAATGCATATTTCTATTTATACTAAATCATAGTGTATACACTATTTGTAAGCTCTGTTATTGTAGTTTTAAGGTCTACTGTTGCAAACACAGCAGTTTTGAGTAAGAGTGTTGTTTCTGAGATTCTTCTTGCTGTACACTGGTCATGCTTTGCCCCCAGAGTTCACAGAGTTAACCCTGGATTATGGGCAACTATTGCACTGCATTAGGCTAAATAAAGATTTCAATCCCATTTTAATTAGCTTTTGTCTTCTTCACTCACATGCTGTCTACTGCAAACAGGATTTACTCATGCTTATTTTTAACAGTAAATGCTAGATATGCAACTTGTTTATTTGTATGTACTTCTAATTTGTCACCAGGAGAGGGCAGAAAGGATTTTTTGGAACAATGAGATTGTTTACAATAGTAATATCTTCAGCTGAATGATTATTCTTTGAGGATGAAATAATAACAACACACATATAACATATAAAAACTGAATTTTTATGAGTAGTAATATGTAAGTATCTTGACACTTGAGTAATATACTCAAATAAACATCCCAGTAAAGTAAACAATTATAGATTTGAATTTTAATGTAGTTTTTATTTCTCTTATCAAGAATATTTAGTTTTTATTTTAGTTTTAGGGCTGCCAAAGTTGCATTTAAAAACATTTACCAGTTTCTTGGCACAGTCTAGTGTTGTTGCTGTTCATGTTTACTGCAGGTGGTTTGTAAAGGTTTTATAATATATTAATCTTTCATATATCTACAACAAAAACTAATTTGCGTCCATTTTACTTTATTTTAGTTAGTTTTGGAGTTATGGAAATTTATGTTGGTTTAGTTTTAGTAGCTCCCAGTTACGTTCAATTTTATTTAAAAAAAAACAACTTAATTTTACTTAACAATAACACTGTTCAGGTTTACATTACAGCAAATGATGCTGGCAGGTACTGGCAAGTGCCTTGTTCATGTTAAATGCCTTGTTCATATGAAATCTTAACAGTTATGTGGCACAAATATAGAAAATAAATTTTTACTATGATGCTTTGTGATATGTAAGGCACATTTAGTATTGAACCAAACATAAAGCAAGGGAAAATGGCTGTAAAAATAGGATTTCACGCTGCACAAATATCCCTAATTCCCCTCCAACCTGTTTAAAGATCAAAGAGCTGAAGAGAGCAGCAGGTGCCTCTCATATATGTGTGTGACCAATGATGCCACTTCCATGTGAAGTTTTTCAAATGGTCCACCCAACAGAGTAACGGGGGTAAAATGAACTTACAATGCTACAAGGACTCCAGAGATGAGTGTTAATCTATACCTTAATGTTCTACTAAATAAGTTTTAGGTAGAATATGTTGTTTATGATATTGACTATGAAGCAACTGTTTGAAATGGTGGGTTTAAGTACATGTCCATGGCCTTATTACTCAGGAAAAGAACATCTCAGTGATTCAAAGCCACTTCAAATAGAGGACACACTAGAACTAGGCAGTTTAGAATAGTATGGTGAAGGGGTCGTATAGGCGAATGATGCTGAGTCATCATGGCGAACAAGGCAATTCAGGGCATGGAGAGCCAGGACAGGAAGTGGACACCCTATTTTGAGCAGTCTGCTGATTAATTATGCATCAGCAAGGGAGGAGTCTGGCTACAGATGAAGTCTGACACAAACACGAGATGCTGCAGTTTGAACCAACAAATACCAAAGATCAACACTTCCTTTAAAAGCTAAAGTATGTATATAATAAAGCATGTTTCCTCTTTATGCATGATTACGGTTGTGTTAAGGTGACCTTAAGGTGCCTTTCAGAGCATGTGGGGATTGTTTTTGTTTAAATAGCATCAATTCCATACAGGAATTTTAAAATGAATGACTGTACATCTGTTAAGGATATTTTAAAGTTCCCTTACAAAAAAAATTGTGCATGAAAGGATGTCCTCAAAGTAAGATAAAATAGTTACAAAAATTTGAACAATAACCTAAATAAGGTAATTTTCGAATGCTTTCTTCCCCTGCACGGCATCAGTATCTTTTGTGAAGGTACCTCTCTAAAACATGACGATGGGAGTTAGATGGGACAATCGTACAGCAGCTGAGAGAAGCATGTTCATAATGCGGATGATGCTGAGCCTGTTTCCTCTGGTCCTTGTGGTCTGGAATGGTGAAGCGTTACCTGTACAAGACAAGCAATTACACACCAATGAGGTGAATCTCTTATTCAAAGTGTTTTTAAGGAAAAACAAGTACATGGGCGCATATTTGCTAGTAGCCTATTTCCTAAGATCTTTGTCACTGGCTAAGAATAACTGTACTGCAGTGTGGTTATACTGTTAATGCTGTAAAAATCAATAGAAGTGATCTAATACGCGAGCCCACGGATATGTCTCATCTTCTAGATACTGACCAAAGACCAGAAGGACTTGTTGAAGAAGATGATGACAGATATGGCTGAGCTGAACTTCACTAGTAAAGAACTAGCTGATCTTGACCCTGAATTTCTGAATGGCAAACTGGGAGAAAAGTCTGTTTATGAACCAACCCCGAAATCTCCATGCAAGCTCTTCTTCTGGAAGAGCTTCTCCTCGTGTTAAAACTGGAAAACAGAACAGACACAGATGAGTCTGCTGAAATCTACAGTCCTGCCTTTACAGTTTGCCAATCTAATCATACATTGTTATTGAAATCAATATGTATCTCTTGGCTTCCGCTGTTCCTGTACTGTAGTTAAGAATGAAACGGCTTATTGTTTGAGGTAAAAACAAAAAAAATACAGTGGTCTTTTGCATGTACACTTTCTACTGTTTGACATCCAAGCCCAAAATACTGTAATAAATGTTCTACAGATCCCTTCATGTCAGTCCTGTAACTTCTGTAACCTTCAAAATTACAAATGACACCTCTATGCTTCGTCATTATACCTTTGCGTACAAAAATCAAACAACCGTCAGTGTGAAGTATATAGTCATTATTAAGTGAAGGTTTGGCGCCACCTAACGGAAAGACAAGGAACTATTGGAAGCTTCTGGTAATAAAATGTAGTCATTATTTGGCACCACCTAACGGAAAAACAAGGGAGGAATGAAACAGAACTACTTGTTAGCAGATGTGGCCTCTGATAACCCAGTCACAAAAACCTAGCTTACGAAGAAATCATCTGGCAGGTATGTAGTATTTTTTATAGATATATGTCAAAAGAAAACAAACAGTTGCTTTAGACAGGGCATGTGGCTTTAAAGGAATTCTCTGGGTTTTCGTTTTGCTGGCCAATATTATGTTAATATCACACTTAAAGGGGTCACCTGGGGCCTCATTTATAAAATGTTGCGTATAAACCGTCCTAAATTTGTTCTAAGATAATTTATCAAAAGTGCGTAAGAGCGATTCAGAGAAAACGAACGTGCGCACAAAAACACGTGAGTACGCCTCTCTTCCAGATGTGACATTTATAAATCGCAAATGATCTTGAAATTGTGCCAGATCTCCGCCTTGTAAACGCCCCCTAATTAATATCATTACCATATAAAAGCACACGCCAATATCCGAATTTCTATGCTTGAGAATGACGAGCACAAATAAATTTTTTTTTTACTGAGTCTGAAATTGAGGTCCTGCTGGTGACCTCAGGTCAGAGGTGAGAGGTTCGTGCAGGGACGCTTTTGCAATGTGTAGGCTGCGTTTACACTGGCACAACATTTTTTTTTTACTGAGTCTGAAATTGAGGTCCTGCTGGTGACCTCAGGTCAGAGGTGAGAGGTTAATCGTGCAGGGACGCTTTTGCAATGTGTAGGCTGCGTTTACACTGGCACAAAAAAATCCGATCTTTCGCTCACATCTGACACAGATCGGAATTTGTTGCACAAGTGTAAACACAAAAACCCGCACGAGATCCGATTTTTTTGCATCCGATCTGAGCCACTTCCAAATGTGGATTTTAATCGGATACACATCTGATATCTGGACATCCGACCTACGTCTAAACACACATATCCGATTCTCCACAGAACTCCCA